CGGGGCAATCCGAGCTCCGGTCTGGACTCATTGGGAAACTGAGTGTGAGCGGGCTCTGTGCAGCTCTGAGAATGAATGCAATACTGCCAGCTACCAATCAGCCATATTTCCTTTCGGGTTCAATGCAGCCTGGAGAGACACTTTATTTCTGCTTCTTATGCATGTCCTACCTGTGAATCTAAGGCATGGGCTGCATCTCATACTTTTCCACCAAAGTGCTCGCATTGGCCTGGGACCATGCTGAGAGCAACGCCAGTACAAGGACACACCCTTCAAGTGCCTTGCTTGTTCTCAAGGATTCATGTCAAGTTCACATCCTACTACCCAACACAGGCTTGTCTTAGGATAAAACAATCAAATTCTTCTCCCCCACCCCTGCCCCCGCCCTGCAGCTTCTATGAAAATGGCAACTCCCGGAATGCAAAAGCCCCGGGTTTATTTATCAGCTTTGCCTGGCCCAGGACACACATGTCCACAGATGACCTTGGAGCTGGGGTCGGAAATCCTTCGGCTCTCGATCCCAAGGAGGGCTCATCCTATGGGCTCCTGAGAAAGAGGCTCCCAGCTCTCCTAGTCTCTGTGGCTCCGATGGACACCAAACAGACCCAGCTGGGAGCCTGGGCTGGCCTGCACAGAGGCTGCGCGCTCCCGCACCCCCCCACCCCAAAGCCAGTAAATCGTCCCTGAATTAATCAAAGGCTTGCACTGGTCCAAACTCACCAGGGGCCTCCTCCAGCGGCCACTTCATGTTCTAGTAGATTAATTGCAGCTGGGGGAGGGGAGGGACTCCATTTTTAGAAAATCATTACTTTCAGAAGGAGAGGGGGCCACTTCTGGGTGGAGAAAACTGCTGAGCTGGCAGCCCGGGCCTGCGGCGGGAGCGCCAGGAAACCCGGACTGTGCAGGCCGCTCCCTGGTACAGTGGGGGTGGCGGGGGCGGGGGGGGGGGCGGTGTGTGCTCCCTGCTCCCCAGGCCAGGGCACCCCGGTCCTCCTGCTCAGCCTCTTCTTCCCGCTCTGGCCTGGGCTCAGCCATCTGCTGGCATTCTGAGCAGGAAGGGATCACCCCAACCTAGACTACCGCCCACTCCCGGTTGGCTTTGTTGACTATCTTCTCTCAGCTCTCTTACTTAACTGACCCCAGAGGACCCTGTCAGCCCCTGCCTGTGCTGCAGGGGGAAAAGAAGGTTGGAGATTCCTAGCAGGCCGCTGCCTTGAACTGAATTTCCAGTAGGTTAAACAGTATGACATTGCCATCTTTGTAGGTCTAAATGGTCACACATTAGCAATCCCACATAATCTAACCTAACTCTCACATGGCCAACTCCCCACACGTATTCTCCCACTGATCCCTCTCTCGGCCTCACGAGGCAGGCATAAGACTCATTTGATGTTCCAGAAATTGAGGTTCAGAGAGGTTAAGTAACTTGCCCAAGAGAGTACAGCACTCAAACCCCAGTCTGTGTGGGTGCAAAACCCACAACAGTGTCTCATATCCTGTTTCATGTCAGACCCCCAAGCTCAGCTGCCCAACTCTCGTCAGTCAGTCACCCGCTGTGCTTCCACCCGGGACCCTGACAGCACAGACCGTCGGGAAGCTCCTGCACAGGCTGTGGAGGGGGCGCTGGCTCACTGACCCCTCGAGAAGTCTGCGTCTGCTGTGGGCTTGGGTGCAAGTTCAGCCGCCCTGCAGGCTGGGTTGGCTGTCCTGGGTAAGTCCCTCACCTCTCAGAGTGTCTGGCTCTTCCTGCCCACTTCCTGCTGCAGCGGGGGCCATGGGCGGGTAATGCCGGGCAGGCCCTTGGTGCCTACAGACATGCACCAATGCCGGGCGTTGTTTCGTCAGTTCAGTGGTCAGACTGGCTTGCTCCTTCCGCACCAGAACTTGTTTCAGGGAAAACATGCACCCAACACAGCGAGCCCCCGACCCAGGCCTGCCCGCAGAGATGAGGTGACACAGAGGTGATGAGATATGATGCTATCAGCTAGGGGACCTCCGGCAACTCTTTCAACCTCGGTTTCTTCCTCTGTAGAATGGGGCTGATGATAATGGTATTTGCTTTAGGGAGGCTGTGAGGATTGAAGGGGACAATCCCAATGCAAGGGGCTTGGAGCACTGCCTAGCTCGAAGTCAGAAATCAGTGCTAACCATTATTATTATCCCTCCCAGTCCAAGCCAAGCTCCTGATTGTGCCTCTTCCTCGTTGATGGAACAGGCCCTGTCTGAGCATTGCACCAGGAGTTAGTACTAGGGCAGCAGGTCCTGACTGGGGCCCCTGCTGAGACCCCCCAGAGTACCAAGAACTTAGGGTTTAGTAGGGGAGACAGAATTAATATCTCTTTAGGGCAGACATTTTGAAAAGGGAGGAGGCTTCCTGGAGAAGGTGTGGGCCACGTTGCATCCCAAAGGATGAGACAGTTGGTTCGAGAAGGAACCGGAGAGCGCTTGCTTGGAAACACGCGAGCAAGGCGTGTGCAGGGACCTGTAATTCACCCTGCCTGCCTGGGACCGAGGATCTGCACGTGCAGAGTGGGCAGAGTTAAAGGGTGAGGTCGGCAGAGGCAGGGACTGAAGGGCCACTTGCAGGGGAGGAGGGCCAAGGAGATGCCAGCCGTCCCTGAACGAAATCATCCTGGTGGGGATGGAGAAAGGGAATACGTATGTGGAAGTAATACAATTTTATTATTATGGACTCAGTGAGGCAGGCGGACAGGATTTGGGTTTTCGTTTCATGACCGGGGATGAGGACAAAGGAGATGGGAGAACCTGGGTTTCTTGCGGGGGCAGCTAAGGTGCCCCCAGGTCAGGGAAGATGAAGGTGGAGTGCCGTGGCTGTGTGGGGGAAGGGAAGGACCCTGTAACACCCCCCACCCCGACACTTCGGGGGTGAACTGAGATAGGAAGGAGAAGCGGGCAGCCAGAAACCTTCCCTGCAATGGGGCACCTTCTCCTCTCCCCTCGCCTAACTCAGACCCCACCTGGGCTGGAAGTCTCCCTGCTCTGTAGGTCTCGGGTGGTCCCGCAAGCATGCCGCTTCTGTCTGTGCTGCTGGAGACTATCTTGGGTGTGGGCATCTTGTCCTCCAGCATCACCGACAGCAAGGTGCCCCTGCAGCACAGTCCTGGCGCACGGAAGGTGCTCAGCGGATGCCTGTGGGTGCCAGCCACTGCGGCCGGGGAAGGAATGTCGGCTACCAGCAAACGCCTGGCTTCCCCTAAGCAGTCCTCATTCCCTGCCCACCCGGCGCCAGCCCCCTTACCAGGAGGCACACGCTCTCACCCCGTTTGGGCTCTTGAGGCTGACCGTCCAATCTGGGTAAAGAGGAGGACCTACGGCCACAGCTCCTGCCTCCAAGTCGAGGGGCCAGGTGACAGCGTGGTGGCTCACCTCCTCCCGTTTTGAGGAGCTGCGGGAGTGGTACCACCCAGGATTCCATCAAATAAACATCTCTACAGGGCACGGGCCAGAGTCGGACCCTGAGCTCCCTGAGCGTTTCCTCCCGAGCGACCCTGGACAAATCTTTTACCCTCTCAAAGCCTCCATTTTTGCAGAGGGCCCGAGTGAGAACGGAATAATCCCCTCCAACGCCTAGCATCATGCCTGGCACCTAGTGAAGCATTCAGTAAGTGGCAGCTATTATTATTAAAGAGCTTCCTGGCATGCTGATGCAAGTTGGAGCAAACTGCGATGACTCTGACAGCTCCCTGAAATAATGCCTCCCACCCCCACCCCACCGCACCGGTGTTAATTAGAACCCTCCCTGGGTGTTTTCCAGAGATGGGGGTTTTACACTTACTCTGGGTGGCAGAACTAGAATGGAGGGTTTCATTCAGTTCAACGGAGAAAAAGCAAAATGGTCTCTTGCTAGGTAGTGAGCTCCCCATCGCCTCTAGTAAACAAGTTGGCCGAGATAACCATTTGACACTAATCCTCCGAAGCATAAATCAACATGTATTCATATTTCTTACAATGTAGTTGTATAAGAAGTCCCTTGAATGAAATGATGGTGCCAGTAGGCTATAGTGCTGTGTCACTATTTGGCAAAATTAAAAATTGGCCATTCTTACTTTGGCCCTCCAAAAAGGTTTTTGGAAATCGTCCCAGTCTCTGATACCCAAGATCTTAACCTCCACTTCAGAGGCCCCTCTCCTGGACCCACGGTTCAAGAACCCTGACAGACACCTATGCAGCTCCTGTTTGGTGCCCAATCTGGTCCCATCTCTTGTGCAAGAGTCTGAATCTAAAACGAGGCTCCGTCACCCTTGCAAGTCCCAGGGCAAGCACTAAAGAGGCCCTTCACCAGCCAAGAGCCATCGGGCCGGGCTGGACCAGGGCACCAAACTGCGGCCGGCTGGAGCTCGAGCGGGTGGGGAGGGCGGCTGCAGAGCAGAACCTGGACTCGGTGCCCGGTCTGGCCTCCCCCACTTCCTGGAGGGTCTGGCCCAGAACTTGGGAGGGACCTAGGAGATGGCCTATCACCAACACTCAAGCTCCCCCTGGTCTTCCTCCCAGGCCTTCGGCTCTCAGGAAGCCTGTCCTGGAGGCCAGTGTGGCGGTGACCTCCCTCTGGGAAGGGCCCCTTGGGCCCAGGACTCGATGCCAAGTGAGGGCTTCCCCAGAGTCAACTGTCCGGCCTGGGTTCTGGGGATTGCAGGACCCCCCCATCTCCCAAGGCAACCTCCCACCCAACCACCGAAAATGAACTCCCCTTTCCAGTTTTGAAAGAGGATCGTCCACTGTTGTAACTCAGGACCTTCTGGGGTTGATGTCACTACATATTCAGGACGCCCGCCGGCGACACCCAAGGGACAGCATACAACAGGGGGGATGGCTGTGCAGCTAAGTGTCTTTCTAGCACATAGGGAATGGACTCGTTTTGCAGCCCGCCTCCCCCTCCTCCCAACCAAGCATCGGGCCGAGACCCCAACTGTCCTGGATCCTGACTCCCCTCCCCACACCCATCCCGTCAGAAGAGAAAGGAGTTGGAGGACAACACGGTATCAAGTATACATTTTAAAAATTGTTTAATGGAACATAAACTCCTTTAGAAAAACATTCAGCCAGGTGATAACACCCATAGAAAAAAACACCAATCTTGTGTTTATCTTTTTTTAATTTGGCATTTGTTATCTGCATTTATATTAAAGCAAAGTGCATCTTCTCTTTATTTTTCTTGTTTATACACATTGCACAATACATAAATAATGATGCTTATAAAACGTCTTTATATTTACAAGTAATAATATATTTATATATAACATAAAATACATTTTTTTCTTTAATAAATCTCAGGGTTTGTTTGTTTTTTTCAGGAGTCCTCTCTCTCTCAAAAGCACTACAATGCTAAATTTCCAATGAGAATGCTTCTCTTGTTCATTTAAACCTTTGTAGTTAGAAAAATAGCTTATGTTAAAGTCTAAACATGCTCATTGAGCTAAGAGCAGTGTCAACGTATCATACGAGTGTATGAGTTGTAGAAGAAACGAAAGAAGAGTTAGGTGTCAGCCCAGGGCGGTACCTTGGGTTACGATGGACCGAATCCTTCTTGGTGGGAAGGGAAGGGGGGCTGCTCCCCTCGCTGGTCTAACAGCGGAGCTCGGCACGCGGACTGCGGAGGGGAGGAAAGTGCGGAGCTGGTTTTCGGAGTCTGGGTAAAACCTGATGTGACCAGGGCAGGGGGGAGGGGGCGGGGCCTGAGAGGGCACTGGGCGAGCAATACTGTGGCGGGGCTGCCCCGGCAGCCCTCAGGGAGCCCATCTCAGAGACATCCAGGAGCAGATGGCCAAACGAGAAAGACGCGACAATGGCGGCGGGGTGGCTGGGGAGGGAGGCGACAAGCCTGAATTCGAACAACTGGTTCTGGTCGGGCCTCTTTTTGCAGGGTTGTTCCTTCGGAGCCTGGTGACAGGCCTGCGTCCTGAAGGGGAGGAGGCAGGGCGGGGGCAGGGCCTTGCTCGGGCAGCTGCTGGGACACGGGTGGGGTCGCAGGCCCCCCCAGGTACTGCCTCTGCCCCACTGAGCACAACCAAAGGGCAAGAGGGGCACAGCCGGGGAGCACGAACCTCCCAGCGGAGAGGTCAGTGAGAAGCACACAGGGAACATGGGTTCCCCCACCTCTGTTCTCGTACACACTCACACACACACGACAGACACACAGTCACTCGCACATCCACCCCGACAAGTGAACCGATGACCTCCAAGTTAGGGCCTGCCCCCCATTCATACACTGTTTGGTGGGACTGATTTTTATTTCCCCTTTTCATACGGGGGTGGGGGACAGGGGTGTCCTGCCCACACTATGACCCCCTGACAAAAAAAGACCCCAACAATTCTTTTCATAAGCTATTTCTCAAAAACAGAAACAACAAAAAAACACAAAACAGAACATAAACAAAATGACATGAAGGGGGGGGGAAAAAAACAATGACCAAAGAGTTTTGCATGAAAAGCAAGCACTCAGGAGGAAAATGTTAGCAGCAAAGTAGTTTGGACTGGGCCCGCTCGGCTCGCGCTCTGTCCTCTCCCCACGCGGCTACCGGCTGTTGAAGATGACCTCCAGCCAGCACGGGCAGCTGCTGATGAACTGGCGGGTGTAGCACTGGCCCCAGCCCTTCACGAAGCTGATCTGCACGGTGAAGCCAGTCCATGGCTGCTGCATGAACTCGTGGTCGTTGGGCCGCTGCAGGCTGTACGCCTTCTCGTAGTCGAAAGCCTTGATGGAGAAACCGGGGAACACTTTGTGCACCAGCAGCGTCCTGGAGTCCGGGTTGTCCAGTGTGGCCGACTTGATGAAGATGGGGTAACTGCTGCGGTTGTACACCCACACGCCGTCCACTTCCCGCGTGAGCTGGATGCCACAGCCGATTTTGCTCCGCACTTTCTGCACCAGCTGACTCTTGTTGTCCGAATTGAGCTGTCCGAGGCAAAAGCCATTCCCCTGAGGTAGATCATAGAAGATGTCCAGGGAGGGCTCCTGGACACAGTAGAGCCTCCCCACTCGCGTCTTCTCCTCCCAGTATGCCACCACGCACCAGTGTGACCGATCCCCAGGCTCCAGGAGAAGTTGGGAATCTGCAGAACAAAACGGCGGACACGGTCAGCGGGGGAGTGGGAGGTTGGTTGTCCCCCACCCCCTGGAGTCACCACGCTCGCACCCGAGCACCCCTACGACCCGCGGGCTCTCCGGACGAGACAGGAGGAGTCCACAGCAGTGCTGGATATGCCGCAGACTCTACAGCCCTCCTCTGGGGGCCTGGAAAGCTTGACCCTCTGATAGAACAGCACGGGCCTCACGGGGGTGCCCCTTCCCACCACGTCCCCATCCTGCGAGGGAGTGCCCCCCTGGCCAAAGGAAGCTCCCAGGCTGGCAGAGCTCAGAAGCCAAGGGACCCCTAGTAACCTGGCTGGTCCTACTTTTAAAGCTAGAAGAGGCCTTCAGAGGCAGCCCAGAATGAAAGTTTTGTGAACTGGACGGCACCTTGAAGGCCAGCTGCTCTGGGCCCTCCTCACCCTGATGAGAAAGGCGGGCCCCAGAGAGCTCTTCGCTCAGGCCCCGGAGGAGGACACAGCCAGACCCAGGTCGGGCTCAGGTCTCCAGGCTCTGGGACCACTTCCTGTGTGGTCTCTGTGCCGGTCACCAAGTTCCCAGATCGGGACCTTGGTCATCAGCAAGTGCTCTCCGGTGAAAATTTAAACAGAGGCAGATGTGGGGGCAAAAAAAGTCTTCCTAATAGAAAAACAGCCCTCAGTGCCTGTCAGCAGCAGCACTGTACACAAAGGGTGAATTCCCATCAAAATGCCACACCACACCACACACACACACACACACACACACACACACACACACACACACACACACGCTCGTGTTAAAACCCAGACTACCTCCACGAGGCTTCCTCCAGCCCAGACAGAAGATTATGTGTCTAAACTGGGGACGGCCATCGTTAAAGTGCCCTTCTCTGCTCACACAAAAGAATCTAGACTCCTGTCTGCCCCCCTTCCTCCCTCCCCTGCAGGCCCCACCCCAGCTGTCCCAGAAGTGGTTCTTCCCACAGGCAGCCTGGGAGGCTGGCGTGGCTCTGGTAAGGTGATTTTCCTAAACAGGCATGCGGAGATCTGTGCAAAGGGGGGGGGGGGGCGGTGGAAGGGAAGGGAGCCCTGGCGGCTGGCATTCCAGCTCCTCCTTCCTTAAGCCGGAGCCAGTGGGGCAGGCCCCAGACCGGGAACCGTAAATCTCCCAGACCGGGCTGGGCCAGGCTGCAGGAACGAACGCTGTGGTTTGTGGTGGCAGGGCGGAGACCGGAAGTCTTGTATTTGTTAACAAAAATGGGGAAAGGCAGGGGCCCCAGGAGGCAGGGGCCTCCTCCTCCCCTCCCTTCTCACTTTCTGGGGGTGCTTAAGAAACGAAGATGAGGCTGGTCGGCCGTGAGATATCGTTGGGTGTGCTTGGCCTTCTGGGTTTGGGAACTACCGGGCTTGCAGAATGGATGATGACTTATCCAACACGGCGGCCGGGAGGGGGGGTGGGGGCTGGGCTAGGGGCCCCATGTCTGCTGCCCCAGCAAGCTAGGTAACCTGGGGAGGCTCACGACTCCTTACAGGCATGTTAGGGCCTGGGAACCAGTCAGTTCCGTGAACCTTTTTTTTTTTTAAAGTAGGAGCCAGTCTTGCAGAGAGGTACCCCGTGAGTAAGTGTTCAAATGTGCACTTTGACCTACTGAGACAGCCACAAACACACCCTGGGTGGCTGTCTCCTACTGACACCCCAACTGGCCTTCTCAAATGCCTGCCTGGGCAGCCACACAACATAGGGAATTAGGGGCTCATTCCTTTCCCTCAATCCCCACCCCACTGAAAATCAACCCCAGAGAAGGCGCCCGTCACCCCCCAAACACTCATGCGCCTATAAAGCCCAAGTGTGAGAGAAGCTGTGTGTGTATGTGTCTGTGAGTGCGTGTGTTTGCATGTGCACACGCAGGAACATATGGAAAAACAAGAGAGGGACAAGGGCTCCAAGCAGAAGGTGACTCATCAGGCATGAACTTGTTTCTGCAAAATATCCATCAACTGCTAATAAACTCGTGAGTGCTGGCAATCTTTGAACTTTCTTGCTGAGGGAGTTCAGCTCTGAAGGCTGCACCAAAGAACCACAACATCCACGTAAATACCAGTGCTCTGGCGTGCAAGCGTGCTGGAGGAGAGATCCCTCTTCTGGAAGACACAGGGCGTCCCCGCCCAAGGGGGAGGGTGTTTGGGAATGTGAGAAGCTCTCCCTTCCTATCCCTACTCGGGACAACAAACCCAGCCTGGAAGGGAAGACTCGGGGGAGTGGCTCGGAAGACCCTCTGAGAGTCTCACAATACTTTGTTCCAACAGAGCCCGGCCCCCCTGAAACCTGGCACCGGCTAGCAGGGAGGAGGAGGAGGTGCAGGGTGGGGTGGGGGCCTGAGATTGAGTTGCCCTCATGCCAGGCCCACGGGCAAGGGGTGGGGGCTATGTCTGCCCCAGGGGCCTCTGGGGCCAGAGGAAGCTGGGCGGGGGCTGGGGCCTGAGGTTGGCTGGCCCAGGGCCCTGAGGGGGAAGAGGGGGAGAGGAGGGAGCTTTCTGGCGGGTTTCTCTTTCATCTGCACAGCCAGCCAGTCCACCCAGCAATTTGCTGCCAGACATCCCTGGAAAAAGCCTTTTTCTGTTGAGGTTAATGGCCCAGCCCAGATAAACGGCGGTGTGTGGGTGTCCCTGTGTGTGAACGAGGTCCCTGAAAGCCCACTAGGTGCCTGAATCGGGCACAACAGGACCCCTCACGTCACCCCCCAGCCCTCTTCTCGCTGTTCCTGGACGATCTCTGAGCACAAAACAGGCTTTCCAGCAAAACCCCTTGCGACAGCGAAGGCCCCTTAACGTGTCACACATCCCACGCTGCCAACCAGAGATTCCCCTCCTTTGCCTCAAATGCCCCCTGGGGCTCGGGCTCATTTCTGGGAAGCGCTCAGCATCATCTTCAGAGAAACCCCGTTCCCTGAACTGGGCCCACGGCCTACAGGGCATCTCCCCATGAAGGTCTGTGCTCAGCTCCTGGGGGGCTCCCCGGGCCTCCCTGGGAGGATCTCACACACAGGAAGTCCCTGCAGTTAGCCGGCCACCAGGACTAAGGAAGAGTCTCACAGGCCCACCCTGGCTTATCACGGTCACTGACACTAACCTCCAAAGGCAGAACTGGCAGCCCCCGGTTCATTTCCCTCAGCTTTATAACCTTTTCCGGTATTTCCAGCAACTTCTTTCCCTCCTCAGAAGACTGTACAGGGGCTTGTTTTAAACTGTATTTGTGCATTTTAAAGCATCAAACAGAAAAGCTGTGTTGTAAAAAGCTAACTAATCAGATGCCTGTTCACAATTTTTTTCTTTTTATTATAGTTTAGGGAATGTTTGGAGCAACCCCAGAAAAATGCTGAATCGGCCTAAAATTCCTGTAAGGTTCCCCACCCCCTTCCCCATTTCCCTTAAAGCATAAAATCAACCCTTTAAAAGGAAGGGGGAGGTGGGCATTGAGAAGGGCAAGGATTTCGCCTTGTGTTTGCACTTGCATTAGGGAAGACCACTTAACAAGGAGCTGCCTGCCTCTTACAAAGAGTTATTTAATTACCCTGGTCATGAATGAACAGACCAGACCCTTCTAGAAGGCTCATGAATGAAGCTCTAGCCTGAGGTCTCAACGGCATGGGGTGACCAGGCCTCGAGGCCAGATTTTAGGTGAAGGAGAAATCCTCCCCCTTTTACATTTTTTTTATTTGGAGGTGAGAGGAGATGCAGGAAAAACGAAGGAAGGAAGACCAAGTTCCATTTCTGGACTCCCACTTATGCAGTCCGGCCGTGAAGCCATCTGAGCCTGGCTGTGCCCACGCACAGAGGGGGCGCGGATGAGGAGAGGGTCCCCAGGGTCCTGACCTTTCAGAACAGAGACGTGTTTGGGAAGCAAAGCCAGCACAGGACCCCTGCATTCAGTGTGCCCCACGGCCGGCGAACAGCAGGTGAAAGGTAGGCAGGGAAGGTTCTCAACTCGACCTCATCTCTGTGAGACACCTGGATGACAGAGGCAGAGACATTCTCTGCCCAAGCCCAACAATGGGACGAGCCCCCGCCCCAGTGGGCCAGCAGAGCGGAAGGCCAGGGACGCAGGAGCCGGGGAGGTGGGCGCCCAGGCAGAAACAGCGGCCTCACACGGGCTGATGAGGGCGAACGAAGGGCACAGGAGTAGACCCAGAAGTCAAACCCGGCAACCCTGGAAAGCAAACATCACTCCGCCTCGCCCACAGCAGGTCCAGGGTCCTCCCTCTCCCTGGGGACTCCGGCGCCACCAAGGGCTGCCTCATCCCGCCTCCCCCCGTCGCCAGACATCTCAAAGGTTAACAGGCCCGGCGGCCCTGCTCCCCTCCCTGCTCAGGCAGCGGGCTGCTCTGAGCCACCAGCCCGCTGCAGGGAGAAGGGCTGAGCGGAACAGGGACCCAGCGCCAAGCCGTCTGATCCACTCTCGCCCCAAACACTCTCAATCCTCAAGGGCCCTTACCGGTCTCTCGTTTTTCAAGAGGCAAATGACCAAACACCAAAGCAAACACATGGAAACCTGACGAGATGTCTGGGTTCAGTTTGGGCTCTGGGTCGGCTCTAATCCGCCATGCTCTGCCCTCGCCAAGGTCACGCCCGGGGCCCCTCAGATTCCTCTGGGGTTTAGAGCATGTTACCCACAGGGTCACGACAAACTCAAAACGTTGCAGGTTAACTCTTAGACCCAACCTTTCCCTCACTGCACCAAGCTCTTTTGCCAAAAGGATCAGAATTCTGACTGGTAGAAAACACTGGGAAAGCTGAATCTTTTTCAGGGCTTTCTAACAAGGTTATCTCCATCGAGATGGCAGGACCAGGGGTGGGCAGGGGGTGCCAAAGGTTCTCCTCCAAAGGCTGGGGTGCTTCCTCAGGTCCCTGGGCCCAATAAACTGAGTTCCCCAAATCCTATCCCTCAGGGACTCCCAGCTGGGGCATGACACCCCACACACACCCCACCCACCCGGCTGCCCCAG